GGTGTGTGAGAGAGGGGGGGTTCAAGGCCATACATAAACAGTAGAGTTAATTTATTAAAAACGAACTATGTGGGACAACCAGATTTTCTTTGGTGCAGCAGGGTTACCTATGAAGAGAGAGAGTTGCTCATATAATGATTGCTGACAGGGTAGAGCTGGGAATGCTATGCTTGCGGCAAAACCTTTGGGTTTTTTAGGGTGTTTTTTTTCTCATCTACCTTTCTCAGTAACTGCAATTTAGGCTGCAGGCTGAATATATATTGTGCTTTCTTTTCAACATTGTCAGCTTGCTTAATCAATCTGTTCAACGGTCTCACCGAACAGACGAAAAAGTAGATACATCAGTGAGAGAGAAAGTCCAATGCCAATGTCAGTGATGCTATGAAACGAAACACACTATGTACTGTCATGTGTAGGACCTGTGTGAACTAGCTTAACAGAGACAATAAATAGACCATGATCAATTATAGGTTGCTGTCATTCACTATCCTTGCTCTTGCGTCACTATATGCAGTGTGAAACCCTATTAATCATGTATATATGATAAACATAGTCAAACAGTGTACTGGTGATGCCTCTCTCTGACCCGCAATCAATACATGTACATTCTCGTGTCACTTTTTTCTATTTTGCTATCTTGAAGCGGGGAAGACTTGATGATTTGCATTACATGAGGGTTGCTAGTGAAAATTTTAATGAAATAAACTTTTTTTTAAATTTCGGATCAGAAACGGGACCATTTCGGTTACGGTAATAGAAAGCTTTCTTGCAAAGACAAAGAAGAAGTAAATGGGGGGATTTTCTTTTCTTTCGGTTTACTGCTGTTTTCAGAATAACCATGTTCAATGTAAGTGGACTCTGCTGTATATTTTTTCCCACTGCCTTTTCTGTAGTTTTTGTTTGTGTAGTGGCCCAGTAGGCCATGGCCTTTTTTTTAAATTTCATGTCTTTGTATGCATTTTTTGGTCAGTTTCATGGTCCTCTGCGATTTTATTTTTTTTTAAGGTTTTCTGACTTACTTTTTGCTTCATGGCATTGTTCTGTTTCTCGAATCAAGAAATTATCAGTGAATGTAATGATACCTTGGTCATTTTCATTTCTGTCATGTTTTCATTTTGTTACGGTAGCTATCACAAAGTACCTGCTTCATTGCTATAGAAAATATTGGCAAGAGTCATTTCAGGACTTCCCTCCGAAACTTCAAAATGTCTCCTTCTTCTACCTTGTGTTTCTTTAGATTGGTATTTCTGTGTTATTTTCTGTTTATCCTTTCAGAGTGCACAGTATGCACTGAAGTATCCCTTATCAAAATTGTGAAGACATCAGCTCTATATTGAAACTACAAGTACCTCAGAAATTGGAAGGATAATAATCGCTGAAAAGATATGTAATGAGCTCAGGAGCCTATTGTCTATTCTTTTGATTTCTAACTCACAGAACCCTGACCCTGGTAATAGTAATATGGGTTTTCTTCAACATTGGCGGTGTCTGAACCCAAAAAAAAGAATAATATGGGTATGCGATCTCAAGTAAACCGTGAAGACTAACAATTTTCTTCTTGAGCAATCTAAACTGGCCCATTTTCAACTGCTTACTCAACAAAAAGTAGCAAACACTGCCTTGTGGAAACGGTAAAAATAAGTTTATTTGCAACAAAATCCAAACATAATGTCCTCCAATTGTGTCTGAGCACAGTGCACAATTCATGACCCACTGTGTATTGGAAATGATTACAATGACCGACTCAAAATAAATTAAATGATGAAAGTGACATTGAAGACATTCCTTATGTTGTTCTGTCTTTTGAATGTATAGTGTTTTGTTATATTTACAATTCTGCTTAAACCGAACACAGATAACTCAAAAATGGCGGTAAACTGAAAGAAAATTAAATCCCTGATTCATTTTTATTATTTTTATTTGAGCAACCTCTCTAGTCTAAACCGAAATCTTGTTACAATTGCCATTTCACTACCTCAGAATTACAAAGTTCTATCTGCTCAATACATAGTTTTTGAGAAATTTGACTTTAAAAAGTTGGAGAGTTTCACAACATGTCTAGCTTTTTCGGATGCAATTCTTTGAATATCTTGATAGCGGCTCTGAATAATTTTATTATTTTGATAAAGCAGATAGAACATTTAGTATCTGACCTCATGGTTTCAGTAACTCAAAACCACCAAAAATATTAGATAAAACTTAGTAATTCTGAGGTAGCGATTTATGAAAAACATCATACATGTGTAAATCTTAATGGTAGGAGCGACCCTGAGTTTGGCTGATTTTGGGTCGAGCTATGCAAATTGAGATGTTGGCTGATTTTTTAAAATCAACCAGTTCTTTGTCTAAAATACCAAGGAGACAATTGAGAAAGTCTTTATTCTCGGCGTAAATTGCTTTTGAAAACATGAGGGTGGGTTAAAATATAGTGAATTTTCACAATAATTGTCGTTTTTCTCAAAATGTCATTTTTCTGCAGCTTTTTTCCCTACTCCTTCCTTAGCTTTCATCCTTTTGACATAGATGTCAAGGCTACCATCAATATAACAACAGAGATTTTTGTGAAAGAAATAAGACTTTTCCAATGGCAAGCGAATAGGCAAAACAATTTTAAAAAACGGTTTTTATGCATTGGAAAATTCTTTTTTTTTTTCTTTTACTTACATTTATTGAAAAAAACTTGCTGTTATGTCGATAGGGACTGGTTCAGGAATACTCTCAATACTCTGATCAAATTTGGTGAAACTTATAAATAAGAAAGCCTTAGAGATTTGAAATTCATTGTTTATTTTCAAGATGGCAGCCGTTTCCATAGCAACCGCTGTAGCTATGCAAAAATAAAAGTACATATCAAGAGATTTTTCTGTGCCTAACGTATATATGTGTACTTAGATTTGATCTCGGGCAACTGACATAGAACATGGACCTTGAGGGTCGCTCTTCCCGGCCTTACGTTAAGGCACCTGCAGCAGCACAGGCCCAGAGGCGTAGGGTCCAATGAGTAAAATAGGGCCTAAATAAGACCACATAGACCCTTTTGACCTCGAACATATTTTGCCAACATGGGAGATGGACTCAATTTATTAATATTTTTGTGTTTCACCAATGAAAACAAAGGTAATAATGACTTTATGAACAGCTTTCGTAGCTAGAACTAGAAGTATGATTTTATTGACGAAAAGTATGTAAAAATGTCTAACATTTAGGTGAATTACATGTGCTTCATCAGAGCAGTGAGAGGACATTTCACCAGATAATTGTCTCCAAAGTTAATGGAGGGGAGGTGCAGGGGGCTCTCGTGGCCTAGAGGTTAAGGTGTTGGCCTCTCATTCAAAGGTCTCGGGTTAGAATCCGGGTAGCGACCGAAAAATTTTCTTCTCTAAAATTGTCTCCTTTCGCCTCCTTTCCTGCTCTCTAGCAATGTTCTGTTGTCTGCTTTCATTTCCATTTTCTGCCCCCACCCCCTCACCTCCTTTGCCCCCTCCTCTGGGCTCCTGACTCTTTCTGCAGCCTTTCTACCTCTACTCCTT